TTTAAACATGATTTTATTTATGCTTTAATTGTCTTATTATTTACTATGTCACATGGCTATTGTAATTCAATTAATATGATGTATGCACCAAGACGTGTTCATGCTCAATTAAGTAGTACTGTTGGAGCACTTATGCTTATGGTATGTTCAATAATATATATTATCAATCATAATAGTTATACTATATATGAAATATTTATTAGATGAATCTATAGAGTTCTCTGTCGAGGCTAAAATGTAGAATTTCTATGTTCTCTAGCTTTATTATACTAATACCAAATATGTTAAGTGAAAATTTTCTAATAGATTATAGATGTGTTCCATCCATTATATCTATAGCAGATCTCAGTACATTATTATATATATCTTAATAAGTTTAGAAATATTGATTATTTCCTAAAGTTATAACTTGAATAGGGTTACATAATAAACGAGGGAGGATAGATATATGACCCTGGACGTTCTCTTATATTTTATATATTTTTTTATCTGTTCTTGGGTCAATATATTGGTTCGTCTTCTTTTCTCCTTTAGTTTAAAGATATGTTTTCATATATATCTTCCAACAAAGGAGAAGATGATCCTGGATATTTCTCTTTCTTCTTGTTGTATAAATTTTATTTTTACTGAATAAATTATTCACTCGTTGCACTTCATTTGGTTCAAAAAGTACATTTTACATAACGTATCACGTATCACGTCACGTGTTTTATGTTGACTATATGACAAGTGTGGAAAATCAATACATCACTATTCATTATTCTTGATATCTTAAATATAAAGTTCTAAAGGAGAAAAGTAAGGAATATCTTAGAATGATGAAAGTAATCTCCAAACGAAAATTCTCTATTATTTTAATCTCGAATATTTATCGATTCTTATGAAGAAACAAAATGAAAAGAAGAAGCAACCATGACATTATATAACACATATTTTATAAGAACTACTGTCGATTGATTTGAAAATATCAAAAAAATTAATCTCTGCTTCAGAAGTATTCTATACACCTGCAAAATAAGTTATCTTAATTTGCAATTATGCATTACCAAAACACATCGAGTGTAATAAAAGTATCTACAAGCTCAGTTTTTTCATAGTCATTAAAATTAGTTTTTTAAATTTTTCATCACTATAGAATAATCTTTTTAAAGAAAATAATTATAAAATTCGGATAGAGCTTGTAATTTTGTATCATCGTATATTTAGTTATCTATTGTCTTGCGTTTATTTGTTGCAACAATTAATTGAAAAATATACAGGAAAATAGAGAATTTTAAGTTCTCTCAGAACTTACAATTCCTTTTCTTTTACAACGTTAATTCTATAGTGCAAAGCAATTCTCAAACTACTAACTAAGAAGACAATGAAAACAATTTAGTTCGTAGAAATGTTGTAATAATAACGATATATTTAAAATACGGATTCACACTATTCATTTCCAGGCATATTTATACTTATGGGTAGTTCATGAAGTATGAGCTCTTAGTATTTTGCATATTTCTCAATAGCTTTTCAATCTAACGGTACAATTCTTTTTGATAAGCTCTTCGTTCGATCTTCGCTTAAACGGAACAGCCTACTTAGACCCAATGAAATGAATAGACTTAGAATACACCACTTTCAAAATTCATTTTTTATTGTCAAACTTTGAGAGTAATTTTATTAGTCTTTCTTATAATCATACAATATTGTAATCAATTATTAGCTTGTAACTAGCTATAAGGAAGTCTTCAAAAGGATTGAACACATAAGTATTTGATACAATGATTATCATTATAAGATAGAAATTCGTAAAATTCTTTTGAAACTTTGTATGTATGATCATCTTTAGCAGCTTTTTGCTCTTGATTATTCATGAAAGAATATGAATCGTATTCGTTTTCAAAAGAAGCATCTCTATAGTTTATTTTTCAAAACAATAACATTCTCTTCTATGGAATCAAAAGCGCAAGAACGCTTATAGATTAACAGCCCTGGTCATTTGTCCAAATAATTGAGATTTTGATCCGTTTGAAAACCATTAGAATTAGTTTCGTATTGATCGTTGATTGAAGTCTTGCGTAATTAAGAGGAAGGTTGACAAAACCACTAAAAAAGTCAAATAAAGAAATCTTTATAAAAACTAATGAATTTTGACAGTAACATATTCTGAGTTTATCCGTTTCATCGGCTCTAAATAAGTTGTTTCATTTAAATGAAAAGTACAACATTTCTGAGAGATCCATTCTTTATAAGGCATCTGTTATAATATCAATGAACTTCGTTGAATTTTGACTCTAAAAATCTTTTACTATAGACTTAAAATCGCAGAAGTTAATATGATTTGCTCTTTCATATAAACAATGGTGTGTATTTTTTGTTTTCAGAAATAATGAATAATTCAACTGACTTTCATTTTTTTTTCATTATAGCAACTCGATTTTTCTCATGAAAATATTTTTTAATATACAGCTAGTTTTATTGACACAAAGTAAATAATAGTAAAAATTCTTTCATACACTATTAATTTTATGAGAGAACATAATTATCTTAAGATTAGATTAGGGAATATTATGCTACATTTTTGCACATTTTAAAACAATTCTTAAAGATTGTGTTTTTTTTTTGAGAAAATCTAAAAACATTCACTTTATTTAGGCATTGACATCTGGTATATTCGTTGGTTCAGTGTTATCTTATGGTGTTGTGGCTTTGTATGGCGATGATAAAGCACCAAATAATCTATTTTTCCAATAATCTGTTCATTTTTTGTGCATATAAAAAAAAACCATTGATATTATATTCATTTTCTTCCTTCATTTGGCTTGTACTATAAATTCTAATAAAAAAGGATGGCAAAAACATGACCTTATCTTTATTTTATTTAGCAATTACCATATAAATCTTTTTGTTGAGTAGTAAACAACTTATTTTTATTCGTCACGATTCTTTTTCTTTTCACGGAAAATTTTCAATGCATTTAAAACATGAGTAAAATAGTTCTTTTTCTTTTTCGCGTCTGTCATTACACGGCTTTTTCCTTTTATCGGGTATTTATTCTTTACTTCTGTGCACGTTTTTATAAGTGAAATTTATTTAGACTTTACTTATAAACAATGTCGATTCGATTAGACCCACCCATCGTCACAGCGCCCACTAAACAAGAAAAGAAAAAGACAATATGTGAAGCTTGTCTAAGTGAATTAGAACCTGATCATTCTGGTATCCAATGTGTACAAGGACATCATTTTTGTCCTGAATGCTCTATTAATATTGTTCGTTTATTTTTTTCTGAACCACAAAATTATATACCTTTACGTTGTGTGCAATGTCATATTGAATTAAATCCTCGTGTATTTGAACGACAATTAACACCTGAACAATTTAATTTTTATGATCAGCATATGCTTATATTTGCTTGGTCAAAAGATTCTCTTTCGGAAGATGAACGTTTCGATCATTGTCCATTTTGTACTTTTGCTGCTATACGTAATAAAAATGCTACACATTTTTTATTGTCAACATCCAGAATGTCTCAAAGTATCATGTTTAATATGTCGAAAAGCTTGTCCACAATTTATAAGTGACTATGGTACTGATGATGAA